TAGGGAAAGGGAGTACTCAGAACAGATGACATATAGAGTCCAAAAATTCAATAGGACCAAGCAAAACATCTTAGTGTGTGCTTGATTTCAAACACATCTCCTCGCAGGGATTTTAAAAGCTTTGCAGAGTTCCCCTGTCTCTGACATCTCTACAAACTGAAAGATTGCCCTTGGGTCAAGTGCTGAGTCAAAAAACGATTGCAAAAGGTTCTGGACAGAAGTGTTTTACAAGTCCTCTCTGCAGAGGGAAAGCTAAAAGCCTGGACAGGCAAATCTTCACATCACAGCATTGGATGGGCCACCATTAGATATGGTCCAAGCTTGACGAGTCAAAGAAAAGCCCAAAACTTCTGCAAATACACTTGCGAGGTGAGGAGAGATCTCGTCTGGAGCCCTACTGTAGCTGTGAATATTTTCTCTTCTTTGTGTGTGTGGTTAGAACACGTTTACATGCTCCTCTTCATTCTGTTTTTTTCTTCTATTTTCCATGCTAATGGCCACTTCCTCAGTTTGCATTTTCTTTTTATAACATCTGCTTTCAGGAAGCATGTCTGGTGTTTGGGGTTTGAAAGACATGTGGTATTCACTACCGTTACTCCTGTTTAATTTTTGTTGGGACTGGAAGCGGGTGATAGAGGAACTTGGGACATCATTCAAGCGGTATTTGGAAGCAATACTGTTATGTTCCCTCCCATGGTGCATCTGAAATATGTTCCAGGCTCTGGAAACAAGGCTTCTCTTACCACAGAAGTTAGGCAAGCAAAACTGTACCAGTTCTCTGTTTTTCAAATTCACATCACAATTCAGGATCATTGTTTCCTCATCCTCACCAAAAAACCTCAGGAACAAATAAGTGAGAGCAGAAGTTAGAGACTGCCCAGAATTAAATTTCTTCTTTTTTTGAGCCTGAAATTTTTACATTAAGAAGAAATCTTCCCTGAACGCTGTAGCCACATTAGAGCCAGGCTTAGGACACAGAAGGTAACATAGCGACACTCAGCA